CCGCCTCGGCCTCCCAGAGAGCTAGGATTACAGGCGTGAGCCACCGTGCCCGGCCTCCAGACTTCACTTTTAATTTTTTTTTCATCCCTCCTCAAACCTTAGCCCAGGGTACTTAAATACGGGACAGTTCTGATTTTCGGAACACGGGAGTCAGTCTGAAGCTCGCTGTTCACGGAAGTCTTCCCAGAGGCAGATGAACAAGGGTAGCCTTTCATTGCAAATCCCTCCTCTGCCCTAGTGGATGGTGTCGCCCACCCTGTGCAGCTAGAAAGCAAACTGCAGCTCAGACGCCGGAGCCAGCTGCCTGGGTCTGAATCCTGTCTCTCCACTTCACCACCAGTGTTGTCTCCAGCAAATGATTGAACCGGACAGTGCCTCAGTTTACCCATCTATACAATGCTCTGGCATGGTGCCCCTGTCCCAGGCATGGGGGGGGGCGGGGAATGGCCTAAGTTAAGGCATGCACAGTGTGTAGAAAATGCCCCTGCCCTTAAAAGAACGTAGCAGGGAGGACCTGCAGTGACCAGCTCATTCTTTTCTCTCTTGCAGTACGTTTGCTGAACGAACAACCGAGGTCTCCATAAATTTACAATGAACTGAACAGCTGGCTGAAAGAACTTGACATCCAGTTTCCCATGGAGGATTGAATTAAGACTCTCCTCAACCCAACGATGGGGCCGAGTGCCCACCCTCCCAAGCGGAAAATGCCGTAAGGTGAACTTGGCGTTGGACGCACCTGACCCACCAGGCACTGCGGCTTAGCCTCACCTGCCTCAAACAGCTCAGAACACCTGCATCAGACTACAGCTATCAGACTACAGTCATCTAACACAAAGCCTATTTTATTATAGTAGAGTGCTCAACATCTCATGTGATTTGCTGACCGCTGTACTGAAATTGAAAAACGGAATGATTGTATGGCTTCCCATTGAAGGCATATTTTTTTTCGTACTTTCATTTTTATTTTATTTTTTAACACAAATTTATCTACTGTTTTAATTTCAGAGTATCACAGGAGTACAAACCATTTGGTCACATAAACTGCTTTTGTCCTGTGTCCATCCCCCAGACAGTGTGCATTAGTACCCGTTAGGTGTGAATATACCCATCCCCTCCACCTGCCCGAAACCTGATGAATGTTACTACTATACGTGCACTTAAGTGTTGGTCAGTTAGTTCCAATTTAATGGTGAGTCCATGTGGTGCTTGTTTTTCCATACTTGGGATACTGCACTTAGTAGTGTGGACGGAAAAATCCAAGCCCTGAAATATTGGAAAGAAGTTTATTCTGAGCCAAATTTGAGGACCATGACCCGGAGCCACTCTCAAGAAGCCTTGGAGGCCGGGCGTGGTGGCTCACGCCTGTAATCCTAGCACTCTGGGAGGCCGAGGTGGGTGGATTGCTCAAGGTCAGGAGTTCAAAACCAGCCTGAGCGAGACCCCGTCTCTACCATAAAAATAGAAAGAAATTAATTGGCCAACTAATATATATATATATAAAAATCAGCCGGGCATGGTGGCTTGTGCCTGTAGTCCCAGCTACTTGGGAGGCTGAGGCAGGAGGATGGCTTGAGCCCAGGAGTTTGAGGTTGCTGTGAGCTAGGCTGACGCCACGGCACTCACTCTAGCCTAGGCAAGAAAACGAGACTCTGTCTCAAAAAAAAAAAAAAAAAAAAAGAAGCCTTGGGCAAGTGGGCTGGTTGTGGCTGGGTCACAGTTCAGTTTTATACATTTTCAGAGAGACAAGGGTTACAGGCAAAGCCACAAATCGATACAGGAGAGGCATACATTGGTTTGGCCCAAAAAGGTGGGACATCTCAAAGGGGGTGGGGGCTTACAGGTTATAGGTGGGTTTAAAGATTCTTTGGCTGGCAAATGGCTGAGAGAGTTAGACTTTATCTAGAAGACCAGAAAGGATATGCTTATTTTAAGATAAGGGTGTGAGCACTCTGGGAGGTCCAGACAGGAGGACATTTTAAATTTACAATAGGCGCCTGCTAGGGTGTTTTAAGATGCTTTAAATTTAAGAATAGGCATCTGCTAGGATGCTTGAGTTAAGACATTTTAAATTTATGATTGGCATCTGCTAGGATGCTTGAGTTAAGACCGGGGCTTCTTATCTTTTAGGTGATGTTAATGCCATACCAGAATCAGGAAGTAAACCACTGCTTCGTTTGGTTAACAAAAGCCGCTTAGTGGGAATTTACTGTTTGTCAGCCTGACCCAGCTGGCCTCCTTAGGAAGGAGTTTTTAGCAAAAGAAAAAAAAAAATCAGAGTTCAATCCTCAGTAGAATGGGCTCCAGCTCCATCCAGGATAACACAAGAGGTGCTACATCACCATTGTTTTTTGTGGCTGAGTAGAACTCCATGGTGTACACAGACCACATTTTATGAATCCACTCATGCATTGATGGGCACTTGGGTTGTTTCCACCTCTTTGCAATTGTGAATTGTGCTGCTATAAACAGTCTAGTGCAGGTGTCTTTTATATATATATATATATATAGAATGTGGTTTCTCTTTCACACAAGCATAAAGTAGAAAAAATCATAAACCAACGCATCCTAAGTCAGGAACTGTCTGTGTGCTACGAATTGCAGAGGTTGAGTTGCCCAAGGGGATATGGTTAAGCCTGGGCTCCTACCACAATGAACACGAAGGAGAATGAACGCTTGCAAGTCTTTCTCTGGGAGGGCAGTTTACTGCTGCACATTTCTGCATCTGCTACATCTGCCCTGGGTCAATTTAGGGACCAATAGCTCCCTACAAACAGAAGGTACCGAATGATTTCCACGTGGGCAATGGCGTCTAAGCGAACACAGAATGTCAGAAAAGTCTCACCGCAGATCCTGAGCTCAGAGCACCAAAATCTCACCCGACATCACCTCCACCCATAAACAACCCACTCCTGCATTAATACCATCCAAGTCCTTAAACGGGATAAACAGGAAGTGCCGCTTCAGAAACATCTGAAGGCAATCTTCTCATTCCCAACAGCGGCGACACTTCTCCCTCCTAAGATTCCCCTGAGTGCTCCACCGTCTGAAATCCCAACACTAAAGTGACCAGAGAAACGTAATTGGTGTATGAATCCTATACCTCAAGAGCTCATGATAGTCCTTTAACTAGGTCCTGCCAACGAACAACAACAACAAAAAACACCTCCATCCGGGGGAGTCTGCCAGAGAAAAGCCTGCCAGTTCGCACTGAAGTGTTGAGCGTAAACAACTCAAGACGATTTTAATTCGCAAGAAGGGGCCGTGGGGCATTTGGCGAAAGCCTAGAAAAGCCCCCCAGGCAAACCCAGCCTCCAGTGCTCCCAACTCTATGTCGACCGACCCTATGGAAAAACCGTCAGAACGAGTCTTTAAAATCAGAAAGAAATCGTGCAAATCCCCGCACACGCCCTTAACATCATGGCGTAGGAGAGGCCAGTTTTGAACTGCTCGGGACACGGACATCAAAACTGGAAAACGAGGCGAATATTTAAGAGCTGCTGTTAGCTCACGCCCTGCCTTTCTGGATCTGATCCCCACAGCCCAAGTTGGGGCACCCGCCGGTTCTTCTCTGCTCTCTGCCATCCCTAGCTCTTGGTCTCTTTCCTAACAGCCGTTCGCTTTACAGAAACTCCTTGGGAAGGAGGTGTTTTCTGTTTTTTTTTTTTAAAGCAACACGAGAACAGCCAACGCCCACACAGCGCTCCCTGGAAGCCAAACGCCCCTTACCTCGTGCGTGCATCAGAAAGCACAGGAGCGCCAGACCCGGCAGTCCCCACCGGATCTCCATGTTTCCCTCGCTGACGGATTGCTCTCCAACCGGGCAAGTTGGGGGCCACCCGGCCACCACCCCACCCTCCCGCTGCTGACTTCCGTTCTCCCAGCCTGGAGGGAGCAGAGAGCTGACGTCTCCAAGTGGAAACTATGAACCGAGCGGCCCGTCTCTTTGCCAAAACACAGATGGGCTCCAAGCTGGGACTCCAGACTCGGCAGCCAGGAAGCCGTGGGGCAAGTGGGTGCACGCCCAGCCGGCGGCGACGTTCCCCGGGCGAGCCTCCCTGGGCGGCCCCTGCCAGCCCTCCCACGCCCTCGAGGAGCGTGGGGAACCGGAGAAGTTACCCAGCGCCAGTGAGCGCTCAGAAGCCGGCACAGGCACACCGGCTCGGCGACTCCGCCCACTGGGGCCCTGGGAGCCCACAGGTTCAAAGGCACCAGCCCCAAACCCAGGTAAGACGGTGCTCACCTGCGGTCCCTCCTAAAACCCCTCCTGCAGGGCGACAATAGTGCAGGGGTGCCCGGAGCTCATGCACAGATGTGGGCGCAGACCTCAGTTGACCTCTTCTCTTCAGCAACCGACAAACTGTGACTTCAAAGCACCTCTCCTTGCCGGTGTATTTTCACAGGTGGTAGAGCAGATTGCCCAAGCAGCCACAGCACAGCCAGAGACGGCAGGTGACACCCGCCGCTTTGTGTCGGAAGCTCCAGACTTGTAAATTTGGGGGGGTCTTCGTTTCCTGCGTGTGCTCAACATGAGACAAGTTCATGCATTCATTCAACAAACATTCTACGCACAACGAGCCGTGTAAGTGCTGGGCTCCAGGCATGCATCGGGGAAGCACAAAGAGAGGTTTGCCGAGAAGAGCGAAACACGAGTATTAGAACCAGTCCCCGGCAGCGTAATGTTCTATGATGTGGGGGACGCACGCTGAGGTCTTGAGGTACCTGGGAGGTTCCGCACTCAGGTTGGTTGCAGAAAAGGCTTTGGCAGAGGGGAGGTGCCTCCACTTTGGTCGTGCCAGGATGGATGAAGGGGCTGGAAGGAACCGAGAGAGTATGTGAGCAGAGGAAGGCGTCGGGTACAGGCGAGACGCAGGAGGGCCACTCTGGGGCCACCTTCAGCAGGTGCCACGGGTATTGTCAACGGCCATCAATTGAATGTTGATTTTTGTCCCTCCAAATGCATGCGTTGAAACCTTACACCGTTGCAATAGGGTGCTACCCTGTTTCCCCGAAAATAAGACAGGGTCTTCTATTTACTTTTCCTCAAGAAGACACCCCAGGGCTTATTCTCAGGGGATGTGTCATTTTCCCCTCAAAGCCTCAGCTTGCAGCACGCACAGGACGGCCGGGACCCGACAGGGGGAGCCCACCTTGTTGGTGGGGCTGCCCGCACCTTTCCGGTCACCTCTGGGATAGTCGCTGTCATGACCACGGGACGGATGAGAAGGGCTGCTCGTGTTCTTTCCCGCTCCTAGACGACACGCACGGGTTGTGCCAACGTGCTGCGTAGCCACGCCCGTCACTAGGGCTGATTTTCATAGCCACGCCCATCACTAGGACTTATTTTCATAGCCACGCCCATCACCAGGGCTGATTTCCATAGCCACGCCCATCACTAGGGCTGATTTTTCATAGCCACGCCCATCACCAGGGCTGATTTCCATGGCCACGCCCGTCACTAGGGCTGATTTTCATAGCCACGCCCATCACCAGGGCTGATTTCCATGGCCACGCCCATCACTAGGGCTGATTTTCATAGCCACGCCCGTCACCAGGGCTGATTTTCGGGGTGGGGCTTCTACTGCGCACATGCTTAGACATCCTGCCGGGGCTTGTTTTATGGGTAGGTCTTGTTTTCGGGGGAAACACGGTATTAATATTTGGGGATGGAGGCTTTGGGATATAATTAGAATGAGAGGAGGTCTTGAGGCTGTGGCTTTTATGATGGGGTTAGATGCCTTACAAGAAGACAGAGATACACCAGCGATCTCTCCCTTCCTCTTCACTGCGGCTGCGTGCAAAGCAGGAAGAGCCCTCCCCAGACCCCACCCATGCCGCAGGTGCCTGGACCTCAGCCTCCCAGCCTCCCCTCCATGAGCGGATAAAAGCCTGTTGTTTAAACCCCCGAGGCCACGGTGCTGGTGGAGCAGCCCAGGCAGGCTCAGACACCAACTACGACCAATTCTCCACGCTCCGAGAGACTACCCAGCATCCGCCCTTTTCCTCGGACAGGTCCGGAAAAGACATACGCACTGACATCAATCTGGCAGCATGCCCGGCTCTGCTTCTGGCACCTCAGGAGGTCGACGTCCTGGAAATAATCTTTTCCCCAGTGAAGCAGCACTTCTTCATGGAGAGATTTAGAGGAGAGTTGATCCAAATGCCGTTGCGCTTGGACACAGAGCTCTGTCGCTTTGCGGCCCATCAGAATAGACAGTGCACGGGCGCCAGCGTGGATGGACTGCCTCCCGCTCTGCTTCTGCAGCTCGCCTGCGTTCCAGAGCCAGGTCACGCAGCCCGAGGTCGGTTCTGTCTGTGTCCCGCTTTCGTTCCGTGGCAGAATGAGCAATGCAAAGTGTGTGAGGGAGGGAGAGGAACTCTTGCGAGTTATGTTAGGTCCGCTCCTTCTCCGGCTGGGTTCACCCGAGGGAAGGCAGACGCCCGGGGTCTTACAACCAGGGCTCCTCCGACAAGCGGGAAGGCAAAGAGGGTGAGGCTGGAAACGCAGGAGCGTGGGGTGGGGCCGGCTGCCCTGGCCACTCCCAGATGAGACTCCCTACTCTGGTCCTCTGTTTCTGCCACCACAAGGCCTTGGCCCCACCGAGACTCTGCTGCTTCCCTGATAATCCACTGTCATTTGGACATCTCAAGGTCTTCAGCTCAAATTTACAGGGTCTCTTTTGCCACGAAAGGTAACATATGGACAGGCTGCAGGGACTAGGACTTGGACATCTTTGGGGACATTATTCTGTCTACCACATGGGATTAGGAAGTGGACATCTCTGGGGACATCATTCTGTCTACCACATGGGATGAGGGCGTGGACATCTCTGGGGATGTTATTCTGTCTACCACATGGGATAAGGACGTGGACATCTCTGGGGACATTGTTCTGTCTACCACATGGGATTAGGAAGTGGACATCTCTGGGGACATCATTCTGTCTACCACATGGTAGGATGTGGACATCTCTGGGGACGTATTCTGTCTACCACAGGGGATTTAGGACGTGGACATCTCTGGGGATGTTATTCTGTCTACTACAGGGATTAGGGGACATGGACCATCTCGACAAACTGTGACTTCAAAGCACCTCTCCTTGCCGGTGTATTTTCACAGGTGGTAGAGCAGATTGCCCAAGCAGCCACAGCACAGCCAGAGACGGCAGGTGACACCCGCCGCTTTGTGTCGGAAGCTCCAGACTTGTAAATTTGGGGGGGTCTTCGTTTCCTGCTAGTGTGCAACATGAGACAAGTTCATGCATTCATTCAACAAACATTCTACGCACAACGAGCCGTGTAAGTGCTGGGCTCCAGGCATGCATCGGGGAAGCACAAAGAGAGGTTTGCCGAGAAGAGCGAAACACGAGTATTAGAACCAGTCCCCGGCAGCGTAATGTTCTATGATGTGGGGGACGCACGCTGAGGTCTTGAGGTACCTGGGAGGTTCCACACTCAGGTTGGTTGCAGAAAAGGCTTTGGCAGAGGGGAGGTGCCTCCACTTTGGTCGTGCCAGGATGGATGAAGGGGCTGGAAGGAACCGAGAGAGTATGTGAGCAGAGGAAGGCGTCGGGTACAGGCGAGAGGCAGGAGGGCCACTCTGGGGCCACCTTCAGCAGGTGCCACGGGTATTGTCAACAGCCATCAATTGAATGTTGATTTTTGTCCCTCCAAATGCATACGTTGAAACCTTACACCGTTGCAATAGGGTGCTACCGTGTTTCCCCGAAAATAAGACAGGGTTTTCTATTTACTTTTCCTCAAGAAGACACCCCAGGGCTTATTCTCAGGGGATGTGTCATTTTCCCCTCAAAGCCTCAGCTTGCAGCACACACAGGACGGCCGGGACCCGACAGGGGGAGCCCACCTTGTTGGTGGGGCTGCCCACACCTTTCCGGTCACCTCTGGGATAGTCGCTGTCATGACCACGGGGCGGATGAGAAGGGCTGCTCGTGTTCTTTCCCGCTCCTAGACGACACGCACGGGTTGTGCAGAAGTGCTGCGTAGCCACGCCCGTCACTAGGGCTGATTTTCATAGCCACGCCCATCACTAGGACTTATTCTCATAGCCACGCCCATCACCAGGGCTGATTTTCATAGCCACGCCCATCACTAGGGCTGATTTCCATAGCCACGCCCATCACCAGGGCTGATTTCCATAGCCACGCCCAACACTAGGGCTGATTTTCATAGCCACGCCCGTCACCAGGGCTGATTTCCATAGCCACCCCCATCACCAGGGCTGATTTTCATAGCCACGCCCATCACTAGGGCTGATTTCCATAGCCACGCCCATCACCAGGGCTGATTTTCGGGGTGGGGCTTCTACTGCGCACACGCTTAGACATTCTGCTGGGGCTTGTGTTTTCGGGAGGTCTTGTTTTCGAGGAAACACGGTATTAATATTTGGGGATGGAGGCTTTGGGATATAATTAGAATGAGAGGAGGTCTTGAGGCTGTGGCTTTTATGATGGGGTTAGATGCCTTACAAGAAGACAGAGATACTCCAGCGATCTCTCCCTTCCTCTTCACTGCGGCTGCGTGCAAAGCAGGAAGAACCCTCCCCAGACCCCACCCATGCCGCAGGTGCCTGGACCTCAGCCTCCCAGCCTCCCCTCCATGATCGGATAAATGCCTGTTGTTTAAACCCCCGAGGCCACGGTGCTGGTGGAGCAGCCCAGGCAGGCTCAGACACCAACTGCGACCAATTCTCCACGCTCCGAGAGACTACCCAGCATCCGCCCTTTTCCTCGGACAGGTCCGGAAAAGACATACGCACTGACATCAATCTGGCAGCATGCCCGGCTCTGCTTCTGGCACCTCAGGAGGTCGACGTCCTGGAAATAATCTTTTCCCCAGTGAAGCAGCACTTCTTCATGGAGAGATTTAGAGGAGAGTTGATCCAAATGCCGTTGCGCTTGGACACAGAGCTCTGTCGCTTTGCGGCCCATCAGAATAGACAGTGCACGGGCGCCAGCGTGGATGGACTGCCTCCCGCTCTGCTTCTGCAGCTCGCCTGCGTTCCAGAGCCAGGTCACGCAGCCCGAGGTCGGTTCTGTCTGTGTCCCGCTTTCGTTCCGTGGCAGAATGAGCAATGCAAAGTGTGTGAGGGAGGGAGAGGAACTCTTGC